TCGGTAAAACAGATCCAATTGAGCCAGAACCGGCCTAGAACATCTACTTATCATAAAAGTTATCAAATATTAACTTTCACATTAAGAACGAAGAGAAGGAAATTTAACGCATGCGTTTTAAGAATATATATATCAGATATTATATTCCTGTCTCTTTTTTAGTAAATCTGTTTTATAAACGTTACGAATAGTGTTACGAATTATTCAATAGCGTACAAGAGCATGCAACAGAGACAGATATGTCTGTGAAACTACATAATTACAAGAATACGGATCGGGAAACAGGTCAGCAGGCACTGACGGTGAGAGGAGGACTTGCCACTTTTGCCGACAAAGGTAATCTTCTTACACAAAAGTGCCCCCGGCATCCGAACCGGCTCGGGGAACACCGATAAAGATAAACGAGCTTTCGTGCTTAAGGATTAACCGAATAGTCGCGTGTCCCGTAACGATCGATGAAGCGGCGAATCGACGGACAGGAGCCGGCTCGTTCGAGTATCCGCTCGCTAAGTAAGTAGTAACGAACGTGCATGGGCAGACAACACGGCGACGACGATCACGGTCTCGGCGCCGTGCGTCATTCGTGACTCTCTCGCCAATCGCATATATGCGGGTGTCGGCGCATAAGTTCGGTTAACATTATCCGCTGGCTAAGTAAGTAACAACGAACGTGTACGGGCGGACCGCACGATGTTAGTCCGATCATGTTCCTGATGCATTTATTCGCGATCCCCTCGCAAATCGCATGTACGGCTGCTCGTTGCAGGGTATCGACGCGTAAGTTTGTTAACATTATCGTAAACTTGGCAAAATATTACGGCAGATATCCAACCAGATCCATATATACACAGCATGCGTTCGAATTAGTAACAAACATTCGTGCGCACACAACCTCGTTTATATATCATGCGTTTATTGTTATCGTTGTTTGATATAAGCAAACCATCCAACAATTTGCCGAGTTCACAAATAATAATACGTATATTTTCATCGCAATTTTAATTATGATCGATAATAAAGTTTATGTAATTCAATTACGTTTGTATTATTCCATGTTTAACTATTAGAGAAGAAGGTGGTATTATGATCTTTATAGGTATTACGGCCTTCTTTAATATTTCCGCTATTAGATGACGAATTCTAATAATTACTTGGGGAATTATTTGTTTAATAGCCTTTCGTTACGTAGTAACAGTAACAATACACAATAGCCGGCATTCGCTGTTATGCATTTTTATTTTCGAGCATTTCGAAACGTTTTCGAAGTACATTTTAGCATTTAATTACACTTACTTTCTCATTCCTCTTAAACTTGAATATCACACGAATATATGTACACTTGAACGTTTTGCTCGTTATTTAACATTTTATTTTGCTATACGCATTTCGAGTTATGCAAAGTTAAACAAAAGCGTGACATTTTGTTAATTTCGTCCTCAAACTAAAATATATTTTACACCGTATCTTTCTCAAGGTTTTTATGTTGAAATAATTATTCGATAAATCGATAATTCAAGTTAAGCTTAAAAGTCTATTTGTTTTGTAAAAACTGTCCTTCTGACAGTTTGTATCTACCTTCTGATAAATAAGTTAGTATCTACATTAAAAATTCACGGTTATATATTATATTCATTGTCGTTCCTTTTAAGAAAGTTTACTTCGGATAAATTTATAAATTTTTAACAAAGCACTGTATTTTTAAACGAAACCGTCTTTTTAAATTTGTTTTATTTGAGGACCACATTACCACCCCTGTTTCTCTTCGACCCATTACCCAGTGTCGCCACATTTTTATAAATAACGTCCAAAGTAATAAATATTTCGCTACTTTGAGTCTAGAGTTGATTGGACGACACTTTGACGAGTATAATCGTTAGGTCTTCATTCGAAAATATTGATCATTGACAAAGTTATTGTACAAAATGTAAATGGCGGGCCATAATACCACCTCTTCTACCACTCCTTTCTTCGCTTTTCGTCAACGAGTATAGGAAACATCAAACGCTACCCAGAATTTCAATTCATAGTCGATAGATGTTCGAAAATGGGACCTTTACTTACTGCAAAGAGATCGGTAACGATCGCTGAGGAGAGTCCCAGGCGGGCAGAGGCCCGGTTGGCCGAGTTCGTAGAGTTGCCGGGGTGCGGTGCGATCGACGGGTCCGTAATTACACACGAGCACCTCGACCCGATTCCCAAACCCGCCGGGCGTGACTGAGTCGCGACGGTAACTCGCCGTGGTCTTGTTCAAGTCGAGCGTGTAAATCGCGCGGCCGCAACCAACATAAATGAACGCCGCCGATGCGAGGGGAATGTAAGAGGAGAGTTGCCGCGGCGCGGAGTAGTTCACCAGGCTGAAAGGTACGATTATCTGGACTAAATGAAGGTGGACGTCGGCAGCCTCGGGCAGCTTCCTCATTGACACGCAAGTTGAATTCGAATTAGGACAGGCGAACGCTTCATAATTCGAGATATTCTTGCGAAAAACTCGCGCGTCTCTCGCGAGCTCTCAGCTTGAGAATAGCGGGCGAAAATCCTCGATCGAGCCCTGCGGTGACTCGGTGAAAATGATTAAAAGTGCTTGCTCGTCAAGGATGCACATGATCCCCCCTGAAAGTGGACGTTGTACGCGTGTGCCGTGTTCGAGGTCGTGAAAATTACACTCTTGATACATACAAATAGTTTCATTTCCGCCACTAAATTTGAGATAACTGATATTCCTGTAATTCGCGTCTGCCTGGCCAATTTGTGTGACAAATGAAACGAAATCAACCGCAGCGCGTCGTGCTGTAGTCGGATGCATAAAAAAAAGGAAGGAACAGGTGGGGGCTAATACTTTTTTGTACACCTCTCTCTCTCCTTCTCTCGAGCGCACTTTACGGGGTTAAAATTCGCGACTGATTGTATCACATTTTCATGTGTGCCACCCTCTATAGGAAATTGAAATTTTTTTCTATCAGACTGGGATATAAAGAGAGAGAGAGAGAGAGAGAGAGAGAGAGAAAAAAAAACACGACAACGGCTCGCGCTCATAGCTGCCGGGGGAGCCGTGTATACAGGACTATCGACGAGTAATTTGGGCCGATACAATAGCACTCTCGATTTCCAATTTACCGAGAGAATACGCGATTTTGATTGTTCCCGGCGACAGAAGAAGAACACCGCTCGCCATTCCCCCATCTCCACCCTCTGTTCTATACAAACGGTCTTCGGTCATTTTCTCTGACGGTCAAGTCGTCGCTTCATCTCTCTCTTTCCGCACCCTCCGACATCCACGACCGCTCCAGTACCGGCTTTAGAGAGTGATCGAGACAACCCGCCATTTGGGGGCGCCGAGTAAATCGGCGCTCCCCATCGGACTAATTTAAACATTTCTTATATACGAGAAAGATCGTTCCTCTCAACTCAGTTTCCAACTTATTAACTTCTTCCTCGCGATAAATACTTGTAACGAGGGAAGGTGAAGAAATAACTTTAGCGTTTAAATACTCTCCCCTTAGGATTGGACGGTTAATTTTATGCGTTCTTGTGTCCATGATGTTTATATTGCAAGTTCGATATATTTCTTCGACATACGTTTCGTTTATAATAATATTGATTATTATTATAGACGTTCGACATATAATATTTCGTTTGTAATGAAAACACCGGGGAACGAAATCTTGCCGAATCTTGGTATCTCTTCGAAGAAAAGGTAACAGGAGAAGCATATATAAACCCGGGCATCTGAAATTTTTCCAGTCTATCTCGTGTTTCCTCGTTCCCTAAGTTTTATTCGACTTATGATAGAGCGATAAAAAGGAACGCGTAAAAGTCCCGCTCGACCGGGTGCCAATGCACCTAAAAGCAGCACTGATTCCCACGGGGGTGTAGCGATCGCGGGCAAAGGCAGAAACGAGGGTAGATATGTGGGATGAAATAGAGGATCGTGCGAGAAGGCGCGAGGAGGGAAATGGAGGGAAACGAAGAACTGAGCGGTGGCCGCAAAGTTTCCCCCAAAATTCGGGGACTGAGTTAGCTGTGTCTACACACCGGATCGAACACTGGCCATTCACAAAGGGGTGAGTCTCTCGGCACAAAGGAGTCGTTCCGATCAACTCGGCTCGAGCTATTGTACCCACTTTCCCACTCCCTCTTTCCTTCTCTCTCTCTCTCTCTCTCTCCCTCTCTCTCTCTCACTCAATTTCTCCCTTTCTCCCTATGACATCGCAATTCGTGCACGCGTTACTATCGACCTACATACACACAGACGAAAGAAGCGTGCGTGTGTTCACGCTGATTCTTGACGAACGATTTGTGTATACAGGACGCTTCATACGAGCGAGCTGTCCTCTGCCGGAAGGGTTTTCATTTGCGACCGATCTTGGGAAGTTGAACTTCGCTTCACGAAAATTTGACGGAAATTCGCCGACGGTCGTAGAAACCCGTCGATTTCCACCGTTAAATATTTTCGTCCCAGCGATTAAACCTCACGTATTGCAAATCCGCTCAAACGAAATCCATTTGATATTTGCGAAGGACGCACGTACGTTTGCTCTCCTTCAGCACCTTTGAGAAGCTCAACTCCCGGGAAGCTCTGTCAATTTTTAATCGTTCGTAACTCAGCAGATATCCGCTACCACGGAGTTTTCGTTCATTTCGATCCTCCGGATCGAAGAGCCCGTGGAGATGAAAGACGGCTCGCTAAGTATGAAACACCTGATACGCTCCCTATATGTACGCCATGCACACTTGAGTTTTACCCGACTTCCGCATTGTCGAAGTCTTCCACCTCGTCGTACCACGATGCAATATGAAAGTGAATTCTCTCTATGCTCGTGCCACTTTCCACGCTGTCCATGTCGAGCACGTTTACGTTCTGCCATACTCCAAATCGTTCTGCAACGAGCGACTCGTTTCAACGAGCCATCGATATATATGTGCGCTCCGACCTCGACGCAGCGCACGATCTTGTGAACACGGTGATCGCTGAACTAGGGTCGCTTATAGGCTCCGTCTCGTTAGCAATAGACCTTACTCTATTTTCACCAAATTTTGCGCGATAGATATTAAAAGCCCTATAATTTCGAAATGTTCTGTACTCTCGATGTTTCTCAATGGTGAATGGTGAAAAGTGCAGCCTCCGTCGATTGTCTGTTTCTTCCCCGTCTTCGTCACCGTTCGTATAAATATCGTCGCTGTCGTATAAACGCGGCGATTATTTTCTCGCATCTGCGACGTCGGAGATACGAGCTTGAAATGGGGTCTAATCGAAATCCGAAAGTTCTCGTAATTAGGATTGAGAGTCGATATCGAGCACGTAATACTCACACACACGCACGTAGTGTTTCGGCGCCCATATATCGGTGGAACAATTTTGCGTCTGCACGGGTTATTGAATATTGAAAAATAACGGTGACGAGAAAAGAAAAGGGGATGGTGGGAGGGCGAGGGGAATGAAAAATGGGATATATCCGTCGGAGTTACTTGCCAACGTCTCGGCACTGATCCTTCTGGAAGAGCTTGCACTGCAACGCCCATCGACGCGCTATAACGGCGAGTTCGTCGTCCCAGATCTGTCGAAACAAATGACGCTTCAAACGCCTTTCCCGGATAAATGATTAAATATCGCGCGTCGCGCGCGTGTTCCGTCGATTTTTCTACCAATTCCATCATGGTCCTGGCGGCGGGCTGCGGACCGGGATTACCACGGCTCTCCTTGCCGTTCGCTACGACGACGCGATAAAAATTATGAGTGTCAAGCACCGTCTCGATATCTCCTTCCTCGAGATCGTTGTTCTTCATACCGATGCAATCCGCGCTCTCGCGCTCGTACTGGGGAATGAATGATTAGCTTATTGTAAGCTAGCTGCGTCTCATCACGAGGGGTCGATTTAAGGAGGTTCGAGCGTTTGATATCAAATATAAAATCTATTTGTAAGATATGCATAATACGATAGTTAATCAAACTGACAATATGTAACAGAAATTTAAACTTAAACTTGACCGTATCGTATATGAGATATTTAATTGTAAACTTGTACATGTGCGAGCATAGAAACCCCATAGAACATCATATTTTTCCTAATTTACCATATTTATGTGTAAGATAGAAGTTTAAAAACTATTATAATATTAAAGACTAATATACAGATATTTTAGACAAATACATGTGGTGTTGAAATTTGGAACGATCTTCGAGCAAAAATGAAAAAAATATCTTTCTTCCAAGTTTAGCCCGAGTATAAAAATAGAAATATGAAAAAAAAACAATAAAATTGTGCAAGATATGTCGATTAATATGAATCAACAAGAAAAATGGGAAAATATTGCACACGCGCGACATTCACATAAATTAAAATTTCCGCCAAAAACCCCGGTGGCTTGTATAAAAATAATGACAGTCATTACACTCCGTGGAGCGATTTTTATATTTTTCATTAGAAATAGAAAAATATAGTTTGTTGAAAATCGGTGTCCGGAAAACCTGAACAATCGACAAAGTTCAAACGTGTGCACTACACCACAAAGACGAAAATTTCTGTAGACGATCTTAGCGTTCTGTGCAAGCAAAGAATAATACAATTGTATTATGTCTTATTATAATGATTATATTTTAATATTATTTCTTTTTTAGTCTGGGACATTTGTACAAAAATACTATTCTTTGCTTGCACAGAACGCTAGTATCGTCAGTGGAAATTTTTGTTGGTCCTGCTGTGTGCGCGCGCTTGAATTTTGTCGATTATGGAGATCTTTCGAACATTCGTTTTCAAAAAACGATATTTTTTCTAACGTGCATCGTTCCACGGAGTGTAAAGCTATTGTCGATTGTTTGTACAAGCTACCGCAGCTCTCGGCAGGAATTTTAATTTCTTTGTTTAATTGGAATAGTCGCGCGCGCGCAATCGTTTTCGTTTTTCTTGTTTATTTATATTAATATTGACACATTTTGTAGAATTTCATTGTTTCTTGCATATTTTATTTTTATACTGGGATTAAACTTGAAAAAAAATTTTTTTTATTTTCCCTCTAAGGTTGCTCTAAACTTTAACCGCATACAAATTTTAGAATTATTGACCGTTTCGTTTCGAAAACACATTAATGGAAAATTTATAATTTATAGTAAGTAGTATTATGGTATTATAGTAAGTATAGCATTAAATTTATAATTTATAATATAGTATAGTATTATATATAGTAATGTTCAAGATATACATGTAAGCGTGTATTTAAATATTTATATACTTCTCTCCATTATCTGCATCTTTATTAAATCAACTAATGCATAGATATAATATTAATAAAAAAAATAATATTTTTGTATTTGTAATATTGTGTATATGTATTTATTTCAGTTTCGTTTCAAATTAACATTGTGTTATTTAATTAGTGAAATAAATCCATAGAAAGAAATGTTGCCTGGTAAATAATAAATTTACGAGAGGCGTCACTGGAAATACGGCATTTGCGTTAAAACCTCCTTAAATTCGCAATCATAATATATAAAATATTTCGTAAAGACATAAATGAGCTTTTATTAACTCTATGGTTGTAGAAAATCTCGTATATCATTACAAGTAAATGGCGACTTATAGAGTTGTTAATATCATGATTGATGAAATGTAGTTTACGTATTATCCAACTGGTCTCCGTAAATATTTACAGGAAACAAGCACATGGTGTGATCAGGACAAACGCGACAATAATTTCTATCCTCGTGATCATACGTCGGCGGTATCCTCCCTCCCGCTTCGCCGTAACACGCGACGAACAATAACAGGCAGAAGGTGCGAACTGTCACACTGTTAAACTCGACCATCGTCTGGGCTCGCGAGATTAGTGGTTACAGACCGTGCGCCGTCAGCCGCGATCGCGCTTCAGCTGCAACCCGCGCGCCGCCGTCCTTAGACTTTTTTTTTGTTTCCGTTGCCCAACTTCAGACCGCGAATCAATTTAGCGACTTCGACAGTTCGAGATGCCGGGGAAATTTATCGCGCAACGGCATGGAAATTCATATCGCCGATATGCGAGAACCGACTCGGCCGGATTGCGCTTGATCGATACGCGAATGAGAAATCGGACGTGTACGCATTTCGCGCGCAAAAGTATTTCAATTCCGTATTTATTACGGCCGGAGAATTCGTTGCCGCGTGTAAAGAAAACGAAATCGCCGCTGGAACGGCCTGATAAATTGTCTGCCGGGGAAGAATGCTCGGCATTCGGCCATATTTTTATTTGCCCGCGCGGCACATTGCTTTATATATCCAAATTTATCTTATTCTCTTTCTCTTCGCGTTACGGAGTATCGCAGACGATATATATGTATATATATATATATATATATATCTCATCTCATTTAAATCGCGCGAATATATACTTTTTTCAGCGCGACGCAAGTGATCGTAAGACTATTCGCCAATCAAGCCGTAACTCGACAAGTAACTGTGCAAGTTATCTTAAAACGACCCTGCGATACTTTAATAACGCATTGTGGAGCATAATTAAAGTCGGAAATCTTGAAACGAGTATGTCAACATCGCAATAGTTTCCGACTTTTAAGGGGGATATACACATTTAGACAGATCGAAAATAAATTTAATTTTACGAATTTTTCGCGGAAAAAAAACAAAAGATATTGAGGTCTTGTGCTTGTTTTATTTCAAAGATCAAAGCTTTCTTTATTTGAAAAATGGAACTATTAAAAAACAATACAAAATAACAGCTGTGTAAAGTATCATGTAAAACATATTTTTGGCGGTGACCATCGTTGCTTTCAAAGAACTTATCTGACAACAAAATGAGACAAGCTTTATAAAGTTGAAACATAAATCTAGTCTTTGACGTAGCTGTTTTTCGAAATATTGCGTTTGAACAAAATAGCGGCCGTTAATATAGCGGTTTTTCATAAAAAAAGATCCGCGCGTTTCTAGCTGCACAAAGAAAACTACGTATCGGAGAAAAAATCCTACATCAAAGATTAGTTTTTGCGTTGAGAAAATACGTGTAAAATTGCAAATCGATCAATCGAGCCGTTTTCGAGATATAATGGTCGTTTTGAAAACCTTGGTTTGTGAAAAACGCGTTTCCAGCTAACGTTAAGGAAACATTAACATTTTACACTTACATTAAGTCATTTACTGTAGGGCCATAAAGTAAACTCTCCAGAAATGTTAATGCTGCTAAAAGGTCCTTCTGCTCTTTCCTACGACGTAATCTTTCTTCCTATGCGCTGCTTAGCGAACCTCTGCTTTCTATACGCGGTTCTCGTCTTCTGCAGCGTTTTGTGTATGTACATTCAGGTTTACCAATACTTACATTGCGTGAAGGCTTTGTAACGAAGCTTTTCCACCTTCACTGAACGTGTATGTAGAAATATATGTAGCTAATTGAACTGTTATAGTGCTACTGTTTAAGAGCGATATTCCGTTGCGATATAACATTGTGGAAACTTTCATTGTTGTTTTGTGCAAATCCATCAACGCACTATTCCAACAAAGTATCCCAATCAAGTCCTTATAAATTGGCTGTAAATTAAAGATATAAAATTGAAAATACAGCACTGAGTTGCAGTTTCCTCCAGCACAGGAATATCGTTTATCAATCCCAATTTTTTGCAAAAGCACCATAACTTGTTCCTTCCTACTCGGTCTGACGTCAATTTTTAGACAGTGTTTCTTCATTTTCAAACATTCTATTGGATTATTCCTCGAGATATAAAAGAATAATTAAATCTTAGCACAAAAAACTTCTAACAGTTGTAAAATAAACGTTCTGCTGAATACGGCCAATGTGTCGTCGAGCAAATATAACACACGAATTATGTTCCAAAATTCACTACCAGCGTTAAAAAACTATAATTCATGTTACATATATTATAAATTTTCAGCACTGGCAGTCAATATTGGGGCATAGCCATGGTAAAAAAGTTACGCACAAGTACGGATCCGATGTCGTCGATAGAGACGGTTACGGAATAGCATCCCTGAACGATCCCGTCACAAGTCATTTTTCAAGCGCCCGGGGCGCGCTTGAATCTACTTAACCTATAATTACGTATAACTTTCCTATTTTTCGTCAGATCGACTTATAACTTCACAAAAACATTCTCAAGACGTCACACTTTAAAGCTATGTGCGAAAAGAAATTTCGATTTTTTGGCACTTCTAGATGAATGCCCCTCCTTCCCCTTCCACCCCCCCCCCTTTAAACCGATCAAAATAATATCACGTAGATTTTACGTTCTCAAATTCGCGTATCTACGTTAGCTCATATACCGATTTGCCACCTGTTATTCATTTTCGCGAATCAGCTGATATTGATTTCTACAGATGACTTTATCTGCCACTTTCTTACGTATACTGTTCATTCTACAGCAGTCAATTAGCAATAATGAATTGTGCGGCCCGTTGTCCGCGCGAATTGTTTGATAAAAATTTAAATAATCTCAATTACTATCTCAATTACTCGAGAAGAATCGTTAAGTCTAACATTTGTTTGAAGAAAGTGGGGTAAAGTTTCATCTCTCGTAAAATCAAACATTAATCTTGACATTTTCCTGTTACGATTTCCAATTCTGATTAAACTCCATAATACGCCATTAATATATTATACGATAGCTTCCATACGTTTCACATGAGTGCGTCGCAAACGTTTGTGTGTTGTTAATTATTCGATTAAAACTGTAATTATGATTATTACATCTTAATAATTAGTAGCTGTGTGCATTGTGCATTGACGCGACAAGTGCTATTGGAATAAATATCGAAAAATTAAATATCATAAAATGGCGTATAATATTAGTA